TAAACTACGATATGTATGTATGTACATATGTAGTCAAGTTCATAAGATTTTGCCTTTTTGTTGTGGCACCACTTTCGATGCGTATGCACGAGAACAACTGATTTGAAAAAAAAACGGACTTTGATCAGTCCTCAGCAGTGGTTATAAATTTATGATTTTACTGGGCTTTGAAGCAATTTCGTGTTGTCATATTAAAACAAATAAGCACAATTTTCTTAAATGCATAATTATATGTACATATGTATATATCTTCCGTAGTTTGTTTGGTTACTGTACATATATAAGTGTACCACAGAGGACATCTGTAATTTGTAATTGTGAAGCAAAGAAAATTCAGTAAAAAATTTTAAGAGTTTGAAATCTAGTGGAAGTATTTTAGTTTTATTTATTGAAACGCATAGATAGTCCAAAAAGTGCTAAGCATTATTTTGTATTATGCTTGGTTATTTAAATGATTATTTTTTATAAAAACTTAATATTTAATTTTTTGCTTCTGATTTTTAGCTTCAATTGCTTTTATTTTCATTAAGTTTTTAGCATTCGTTTTTATTTTTTTTTATTTTTTTATTTACAGACCTATGAACATTTCGTGGATCCTGGCTACTTTGGGAATTTCAAAGGAGGAAATGCCATGGCAGTCATGTAAAAAAAAATATACTGCTGCGCATCAAATATGCATTTGGCGCTTCTACTACGGAAGTACCTTTATGCCCTCAATGTACTTAAATTTATTACAAATTTAAATTATACGAATAAATAAGTACATAATTGCCGAAAAATAAATTTAGAGAACTGTAAACATATCTTTACATATTAAGTAGTTAAAGTATGGTTTATAAAAGCCTCAGTGTTCTGTGTGTGTAGAATTGAGTTCATACTTAAATGTGAAATTGAGAAAAATTAATACATAAAAGTTGAACCAAATTTAAAAATAAATATTAATATCAGGTTGCAGCTGCAACAACGAACAAAAAAGCTTTTAGTACAATGGGAAAACCGAAAACACCTTTCTCCTCTCCACGTCAACAAAAATAAAACTGAAATGCCGCCGGACCCCTTCTCAAATTTTAGTACAGAAATGTTCCTCCATTAATCTCCGCTCTCGACGATAATTCTAAGGTTTCAGGTATCGAGCGTTTATTTTCCCCATAGGAATAATAAGTAAGAAAATAAGTTATTCTTTTTTGAGGTCAATATAATTTCCTAGGATCAATCTAAATGTCCGAAACTGTAAGAATACATGCCATTTAAGTATTATGCAGGCTCAGATTCTTTAAATTTCTAAACTATCTTTTTTTAGTGTATTCTTACAGTTTCGGAAATTTTGATTGTTCTTAGAAAATTATATTGACCTCAAAAGAGAATAAATCAAATACTAAAATTTGAGTCGGTGATATAAAATATTAATTTATCTGTCGCTAGTATTTAATGACCAAAGTATTCGCTGCCAAGGGTTTGTTGTAGCAAGCACTGCTACAGATTCAACGCAATTAATAGAAAAAAGCGGGTATAACAGTAGCTTTTAAGTTAGTTTATATAATCTTAAAGTAAAAAATACTAGTGTTGAAATTCAACCACTAAAATTAAGGGGAGTTTATGTGAGTTGAGTTGATGTGAAATAACATTAGTTGGAATGGGTAAAGTGGAGGGGAGTTTAATTTGTACTATAACATAACAAACCAAGGAATAAGATTAAATAACATAACATAAGTAGCATAACATAACACCGCACATTCTTCAGTTGTACCTCCTTTTTTATCCCTACCACTTTCGTCCTCTCTATCTTTGTCTCTATCGTTTTTTTTGTTTATGTTTTTTTATGTTAATGTTTATATTTATGTTTATATTCATCTTCATCTCCATCTTCATCTTCGCCGTAGTCTTCATCTTCTCCTTCATCTTTATACTTTCCTTTATCTTGATCTATATCTCAATTATATTCTTCATTTACATATTCACCCCCACAATTGTTATTAGGTTAGGTATTTAAATTTTTCTTCCTCTTTGTCTTTATATTTAGGTTTCTTTACTTTTATTTTAATCTTTGCCTTCATCCCTTTCTTCCCTTCCCTTCCCTTTCTCAACTTTACCTTCTTCTTTGCATGAATCTTAATCTACATCAATCTGATTCCTAAACTGTTGCTTAGTACATCTCTTTAATTCAGTATCAATATTAAAGCATATATATAGGAGGCATTTCCGCCCCAACTATGTACATGTACGGCATTAGTATTGGTGTCACTTTTGTATTGATTTTTTCGCTTTATGTTAAACTAATTTGAAATTTGAAAAATTGCCTGCACATCAGCATCAAAATACCTTTCTAATTATATATAATTGTTTATACCTTGGAGGTATAGTTTAGCCGTAAAAGTGGTGTAAAGAAAACAGGATTGCCTATTTATATATAAGATTTGCATTCATTGGAGGTAAATCCTATGCACTGATTTACACGAAAATATTGAAATTGTGTTTTTTTAGCTGATCGCACTTTCCATCTAGGTGTACGATATGTAGGTGAAGAGTTTATTGTTTATTAGCACCTAACCACGACCATGATAATAAATAATAAAAGGTTAGGTAAAACTAGTTAAAAAAAAAAATAATATTTTAATAAAACGGTCGAAGAAACAAATGGAATATTTACGATAATTTTGGAAGCATTAAAATATGTAAATGTTCTATAATGCTTCTCTAAAATTCTGATTCAGAAATAGCAATCGCACTAAAAATCACGGTGATTAAAAAGTCGCAGTCACTTAATTCACCGACAATGAAAAATCATCTATCGCTCTTCACATCATTTCCATGACAGTCGGTTCCACGTAACGGAATGACTCGGGTTTTACACGAGCAAGGGCTGTTGTTTCGGTGATCTAACCCGCTTAAGGTCGGCGAACGTTTTTCGTCCATGGGGCGACATCTGCTCCTCACTCTTCTGCTCGAGCTTGCATCGGGTAAACCCATGGCCAGAAACCTACACCTTTTGTATGTGCCAGAGACGATTACACCGAAACCCCACCTCAGTCAGGTGTAATTCCTGTTACGGGTGGAGTAACGAAATTCGTGGCCCATTTCTATATAAAACGGACTGCCTCCACAGTACACCAGAGTACACCCGAGCAACGCAACACCCCCAGCATAACACAGCCATAGATAGAAAAACCAGAAACACAACCGCACCCTCATCTACACGCCGCCGGTAACAACCTGCCAATACCTGCCTTGGCTGGTGCCACTTTAGGGCACTTTGTTATGCTACTCATTCGCAAATACCTTGTGCGACGCCGGCCAATACCACCCACCACAAGGTAGCACACACAAAAAATGGCCAGCAGGCAACAACATAACCACAACTCTCACACCCCACATTGCAATCAGTCTCCAGTGCAGTATCGTCTTATCGAAGCAGACATCGTCTTATCGAAGCAGACATCGACCGCAGGGCTACCATCCTAGATAGGGAATTGTTATCCGGTCAGGCGATGTCGAGCTCCAAATATTTAACGTTTACATACCCCCTATCACCAGATGGCCGGAAAGATATCACCCGGAAATATATGTGCTCCTCAGAGGTGAACCGCGTATGGCACTTGGTGACTTCAATGCGCACTACGGTCTTTGGCATTCAAGCCTTGGCTGATCAGATAGAGGATTGGACATTCTGCACAATGAACAACGACGCACCCACCAGGATTATGGGCAGCTGCAGCAGCTCGCCTAACATAACAATTGTAAGCGCTGGTATTATAAACATCGGACCATATGCCCATAGTCATCTCGATCTACAGGGTGGCGCCGAATGAGCTATATGGTTTGAATTCTTTATAACTTTTTTAATTATTATTTTTTCATTCTTTTTCAGAAATTTGCGAAGAAGACTTTGGGAATAAATTATGAATCATTACACGATCGAACAACGTGCACAAATAATTGACAAGTCCAGAAATTGGAAAATCCACACTTAATTCACAATTTGGTAATGAGCGATGAAGCCCATTTCCTATTAAATGGGTATGTCAACAAGCAAAGCTGCAGAATTTGGGCTACGGAAAATCTAAGAGCAGTGGAAGGATAATTGAATCATATTTATTTGAAAATGAAAGTGGTGTCTCAATCTCTCTCAACGGTGCTGGATATCGGACGATGTTGGAAAATTTTATTAAGCCAGCTGTGGAAAACCATCCAAACTTGTGGTTTCAACAAGATGGAGCCACAGCACATACTGCACGTGCCTCAATGGCTTTGTTAAGGGACATATTCGGCGAACGCATTATCTCGCGCACAAGCGATTTTAACTGGCCTCCACGTTCACCAGATTTAACAGCTCCTGACAGTTTTCTTTGGGGATATTTGAAAGAAAGAGTACGTTAACAAACCAAGAACCATTCTCCAACTCCAAACCAACATTCGAAATGAAATCATGGCCATTACACCCGAAATTCTGCGAAAAGTTATGGAAAATATACTAAAAAGAGCACGTATGTGCGAAGCAGAAAAAGGACATCACTTACAGGATATCGTTTTTCAAAGCTAATTGCAAAAAATTCCCCAATAATTACTGTATTTAAAAAATATATATATATAATAATCGCATAAATAAAAAAGTTATAAACCATTTAAACCATATAGCTCATTCACCCTGTATAAACCTGCTGACTTGGAATACCGAACCTACATCAACTTCACCAAAGCTGATTGAAACGGTTCCGCGGCAGATACTGAAAGCACCTTCTCTGCCCTTCCTAACCAACCGACGTTCACGAAGCATATAAGGACAAAGTGCCTAATTACGACGACAAAATCTTAAATCTTATCACACATACCTTTCTAATACTCCTTATCATGATTCAAATATTTAAAGGTAGTTTCACTTCTTATCCGCCATGAAGCTACCATATTCTTTGAAGAAACTAAAAAGTGTTTTTTTACTTAAAAAAAAAGTTATTCCAAAATTTTTTCAAGGGATATATTTTGAGCATCATTTTATTTCGAGCTATAAGGGGTTTATTTCTAAAATTAATTATAAAACGGAAGGCTAGTAAAATACTCCTATTACATTGCGTAATGCACATGGATAATCTATTTGTTTATGCAATTATTTTCATCATTATTTAGTACGATTAGCTGCATATTTTGGGATGACCAAGATCTAAGAATTTTCGTTGACGATAAGCTACTTTTTAGCTATTCCGTTGTTCATATGTCCTCTAAAAAGGATCAAAATTACTCAACATCCTAATATCTATAATAAAATCTCATGGAACACTGCATATAATGCCAAATTTTTTGCGGTAAAGTAATTTAAGTATTTTAAATTAATACTCACTTATTAACAGCTATGCTAATATGATGAATTAAATAAACTTACCTTGCGTGTTGTTATTTTTAATGCATAAAAAATTCCTTTCAAAAATTATAAAATTTCCAAAACAATCATTTGTTGGGGCGCCAGCAAGGCACATTAAACAGGTAGTATCAGTAGAGCAAAAACAACATTTGCGTGTATTTTGTTGTTGCTTCTGGTATCGAAAGTGTCAACAACTGTTCTGAATTTTTTCTTCTAAATCAAAGCGTGCCATGTGAAATACAAAAAATTATAAAAAATAAAAAATTGAAATTGGAAAAAAATAAAAATTGATGCAACTTTCTTTCCTAGTAAATTTGTTTGCTTCTCGAAGCATTGATCCATCCTTTGCAAGGCCCAGTAATCAGCGGTCGTGCTGCCGAGTTGGGCGAACGTTCCAAAAGCTGCTATTCAATCGCTTGTTTTGTATGGAAAAAGGTTTCACAAGCAAATGGATTTTAACAACTTATAATTTTCGTGAGAAAAAATTAAAAATATTTGACATTTTCGAGACCAAATAATTTTAAAATAAATCAAATCAGCTGCTCTACTGATACTACCTGTTCAATGTACCTTGGGCGCCAGTGATACTCGAGCAATTTACGAAAAGTATAAACGTCATAAGCACAGTTTATTTTCGAAAAATTCGAAGTGAAACTACCTTCTTTTTTTGTATCATGCTACATAACATAGACCTAAAATTTCTACAGAGAAATTTTAGATCGATCCCTGCAGTAAAATTTAGAGACAGTCTCTTAAAGCGCTAGTTCCGTCCTACACGTTTCAGAACCATCTCTGGTCTAGTGCAAAACGGCTGCAGAGAGCGACAGTTTAAACTTTTGGTGTGCTAGTTGCGCTTTGTTGAGAAGTAAATGCCCAAATTTTCACTTCTCGTACAATACTAAAATAGCTCAGTGGAAAGACCTCCGACTCTAACATCCCTGGTCGCGAGTTCAAATCTCGGTGGAGGCAGTTGTGATTTTCAGATTTAATAAATTTAAAATGTTGATGCCGCTCAAAAATTGAAGAGAAAATGATCAAATTTAATATAAATAAAATAAAAGAAGAAAAAAATTAAATAAAATGCAATCTGTAAAAGAACAGAAAAAATAAACAGAAAAGAAAAATTTTAAAAATTGAATAATCAAAATTTTTTCATAAAAAACTTATTGTCGCAGATCTGTCCAAAATGGACACAGTTCAGAAAAGAAAAAAATATCCAGTAATCTAGTTTTAAAATTTTTTCTCATAAAAAACTTATTGTCCCAGAACTTTCGAAAGTAGAACCAGTTCAGAACTAGCTCGAAAGTTCTGCAGAGGTGGCAATTTCCACTTCGCCATTTAAAAAGAGACAGTTGAAAGCATTGCGTTGGGATAAATCGAGAACCAGTACCGCCTCTTAAAGAGCTAGTTCTGCGCTAGTTCTGAACCAGCGCGATTTACTGCAGGGATGTGCCCCACGCTTTTCATTTTGAATATCATAAAGGCTGCGTTTCTTCATACATTCCGGATAATCGCATTTCACAGCCGGAATAAACAGAATGCGTTTGAAATATACGTCAACATAAGTATCATCAGGAACGTTCTAAAGAATAAATAAACAAAAAAGTTTATTCCAAACATTCGGAATGAATAAAGAAATGCAGCCAAATTGTTAATAATGACTTTTGCTAAAATTTCGAAATCAAAAGTTATCAAAACAAATTCTATGGGACTGAGACATATTATTTTCTAATTTTTAGTCCACTTATAAAAGCGTGGAATATTAATTTTTTTTGCTACTTTTTAGTCTTGTCTGTATAAAATTTTGCTATTGATATTAAAATAACTCAACTTGCAGTGAAAAAACAGAAGACTATGCAAGCAAAATGTTTGCTCACATTTAGTATATGCCTACATATCGTCGTCTCAGAAAACGGATGACGAATGTGCAAAATCACGATTTTGGGATTTTGATGCAGATTTACTAAGTTGGACATGCTCTTTCGATTTCTGCAATCCATTTTTTTATATCTCCATTAGTTTTTGAGATATTTCGTGCGCATTTTGTCGTATGTTACATAGTATTAATGATTGGGTATGCCTTTTGTTGTATGTGCTGAAAATGCGTCACATACGACAAATTCCCATACAAACGTACCTTTTTTTTAATCATAAAACGTTTGTCGTATGTGGCACATACGACAAATTCCCATACAAATGTAATCTTTTTTTAATCATAAAACATTTGTCGTATGTATCGCAAAACTTTGAACTTACGACAATTGGATGGTCCTCTACTATAACGATACAATTAAAATTGAAAATTAAACTAAGTAACTAATTTTAAAATTTTAAATTTTAGCTTGCACTGAGTCTCCAATGAAATGAAAGAGATAAAAATGTACAAAAGACTGAATTTAAGTATTGTTTTTTGTTTTTATATAAAGAAAACGTATGTTCGTAACATATTTACAGCATAAGAGATGTACAGATTTTTTTATTAAATACATGATTATGTTTTTGTTATTTTTTTTCTAATAAGTAATTATTTAATAAATATGTCTGTTTTTTTCATCAAATTATACCATCGTCGTTGAAATAGATACTTTACTATTGTCGTATGTTCTGTGGACAAAACAAAGTGGTGAGTAAACGCTACTTACGACAAATGTATACGGAATGAAAAGTAAATTTTCTCATTAACGTTAAGAGATATTAAATGTAAAAATATGGGAAATCAAAACTAATAACACCAACTACGTCTCCTTCAAAAGTTACAAAAATCTACCGTACAGTTTCGGATTAATTCGACCTTAAACTTCAAAGTCAATTTTCTCAAAACCGTGTTTTGTAACATTCGACATCCGTTTTCTGAGACGACGATATGTACATACATACATATAGCAGCAATTAATTACATTTAAAGAAATGGCGTGTCGTCCATTTCCGCTTTAGCGTATGTAGTGCATATGTTTAGGCGCAATATTGAACTTCTTCTGGCGGGGCGGCATCTACCTCTAGATTTTTTGTAATTGTACGCCTTTGATATGATACTTACGACGGGGTTGATATCTAGACTAGGTTTGCCGTATTTATGGCTTTTGCTTTATTTATAGTATAAATGGTGATCTGGACACACAACATTGCAAGTTTATAAAAGCGTTGTAATAAAAAGCGGTATAAATCAAACGTAGTTAATGCACTCGTATGATCTTAATTTTAATCACTTTTCGTCAAAATTGGGCATTTTTTAAATGAGAAAAATCCCCAATGTCCAGAGATATAAGCTCGGATTTTGAAGAGAAAAATAAAGCTGTGGCTATTTAAGTGAATGGTGGTGTGTAATCATATAGTCAAACGGCCATATTTAAAAGGGTTTAAGAAATTTATTATAAGAAATATTGGTATTTTATTAATGAATAATGACACTTCGATACTGTGAGTAATATTTCAAGCCTCGAGCGAATTTCGAGCACAAATATTTCGATACATTGGCGTTTTGATTTCCCCTATTTTGCACTATTGCACTATAAAAATTCAGCTAAATTACCGACATCTAAAATGCAGTCTCCATCAAGCAAACAGACCTTATGCATCTCCATACACACATCTTACTTACATATCCGACACAGCTGAAGTTACAGTCAATGCAATTGATGACTGGAACTCGCCGCTGTTCAACGATTGTTGTTTGTGGTTGTTCGCATGTACGGCATAGAACCTCATGCAAAGTTATATGGTGATGGTGCTGCCCATCGGTCCACCTCCTATTCATATTTGTCGAAATAGCGCTTCTTCAGATCAGGCGGATACGTAACATAGATATAGTGCTCGTTTTGGCCTATGTCATTTTGCATGAATTCATGAATAGATGATGAAGCGCGTAGTGAATGCTGAGATGCGCCACTATTGCGATGATGAGAGGTTACAGGACGTGGATGGGTGTTATAATGGCGTCCACCACCCGCCCCCACGCCTATGCTTGACTCATTTTCCAACATAGTGACACCGCTTGTACCCAGACCTGCAGTACTTGCCGATTTTGGCGCTCCGCCCGCACTGGTCATTGCTTTGCTGCCCACACTCGTGACCGCTGTTGTGGCTATGGGTCTATTTGTATAGTCGCGTCGGTCTAAAATGTCCTGTTGGTAAACGTGACTCTGTGTCGGTGCGTGTCGATGTCGTGGTGTGCCGGCCATATCTGCGGCCGTGGAGGTGCTCTGCATGTGCGACTCCGCTATGTAGCGTCTCGGACTGTGGCGATAGTCGTATTGAAGTTGTTCGGGGTATAATTCGTGAGCCTTCTGCTGGTAGTAGTATGGTTGGGAGAGGCTCTGGCGCATACCACTGTGCATGCCGGTAGTCACGTAGGCCTGGTGGTGGTGCTGCTGCTCTTGCTCTGGCGGCATTTGCGCCGACTGTGGGTACCGGTGGTACATGTAATCGTGCTGATTGGTAATGATTGTCGTTTCCTCGGAGCTGAAATAGATAACTTTTGCTTAATCACAATGCATTCAGCGCAAAGAGCACATTTCGAAGCAGTTCACATGGTGTGACTGATGTGGATGCAATCATAAAGTACTTACTTAAACAGTATCCAAATGATGTAATAGCAAAAGCACACTCCTGTCGAGAGTACAAAAATCAGCAGCAGAGCCAAACCCCAGGGGAAGGTTCGCGGCTCGAGTGGACCATCCTCCCAATATCGATCGCATGACAAGTACCAACAAACTGCTCTATTCATTTCCTCTATAAGAAAATGTGTAAGCACAAAACAATTTAAAACATTTAAAACTGTACGAACCTTCCATTTCTTTAAAGGTTTGATCCGTCATGGTCAATAGAAGGCTAGAGATACAAGTACGAACTAAAAGCTCACATTGCACCTTCAGTTTGCTCAGTTCTTCAGCCTTGCAATTGGCACGTGTCTTCTGTATATTGCCATTGTCATTCTTGGCTCTGCTGGTATTGCCGGTCGGCGTGGCGTTGGCTTCATCATCTTCGCCATGGTTGCTCTGTTCAGACGTAGAGCCGTTCTTCTTGGCCTTAGAATTGGAATTGTGTGGTGGTGTTTCTGTATTGGCAGCCTTGTTGTGCTCCGAGTTTGTTGGAGTCCCTGTTGAATGTTCACCGTCAGCATGTCCTTTTTTCATATTTTTCTTGGGTTCATTGGCATTGACGGTGGTTGCCTTCTTGCTCTTTTCAGCAATAATTACATTTTCGACTACAATATTGTTTTTTTTTTGTTTGTTTAGGGCAGGAAGTTCGATAAGGATTTTGGAGGGGTCACCAATTGAGAAATGGGTCTACTAATATGCATATTTTCAACAGTATAGAAAATATATTTACCAGTGTCCTTAAACTTATTTTGGCCAATTTTGTCCTGACATAATTGACGAGTTTGTCCTCTCGCCGCTCGCGTTCCACCGATGGAGGAGGTTCTGAAATAGAGTGAAAATGTGAGCTGGACATTTGCGTGTCTCAACAGGCGACACTACAATTATACCTGAGAGGTATTAAACTTAAATATGGTGTATTTGCCTTTGCCAGCGCTGAGTTCTGGCCCAAGGAATCACCCCAGACTTCAATATCGGTAACTACATGCTGATCGCTGGTTGTCAAACTAGACGATTCCTCAGTTTGAAACACCTCACAACGCATTATGTCACAATAGTCTGCCAGACAAACGGCATCTTCGGCCTATCAAATGCGTGTATATTTTATCAAAGATTCAAATATGTGGCGACTTGCCTTTCATACCTCATTGATAACAGACTTGTGCCGCGTCTCAAAGTGTAAATCCAAAAACCTTTCCTGGTAGAAGCTTTTGCCACACAGACGACAGGTCCACTGCGTTGGTCGATCACGTTTTTTGGCATCTTGACATGGAGAGAAAACGTCGCGCAGCGGGTGTAGCGGACATTCTAGAGGTAATTTTGCCTAAAAGTAGACCATTTAAAAGTATTTTTTTTAGCAAATGCTGCGAATGTGTTCGATGCTCACCGAATATTTATCCAATATCGGTGTCCATTTCGAGCGTACAATTTTGCGCACCAAACGACTGTTATCTTTGGAGCAAAATAATTGTATTATATGCGTGTGAGGCCATGGCATAAGCAGCAGGAAATAAATTAAGGTTATCTGCAAAAAGAGTGAAAAAGTTTTAGAAATACTATTATCGATGATATTCATAAAAGCTGGATTGAAATATGATGTACTATATGAGGATACTGGGAGTGGGTCGATGCCCCGGCGATATTAAACTGTTTGGATTGCAAAAAACCTACCAATCGTTGTTGGTCCTTCGAGAAACAACCTCTGAGGTGGAAACTGTATTGTTAATGATCACTTAATCGCGCTTCAGTTCATTTGGCCGTGAAGCCTGCCTACTGATGCAAGACGGCCGCCCCACCAGGCTTATGGGCAGTTTGTCCTATCTTACAATAGCTAGCGCAAGTCTGACAAATAGAAAATCCGCCACAGTTTTCCAGCTGCTAACGAGCATGATTATCGACGCCAGAGCGTTCGCTAAGATCCCCGTACTAAAGATTTAAAGTTAGATATTCGACAGCAGGGAAACCGACGCGGGCAAGTGAGGGAAGCACCTGAAATTCTGCAATATCACCTCTGTTATTAGTAAGCTTTGCAATTGTAATACTACTATTCAACCCGGTGAAGCGCGATGAGATGGTGGAAATTTCATTTTGACTATTTTGCAATTAATCAGCAGCATATACTCAGCCACGATTTTAACACTAACGTCATTCGTGGTCTTGAACGAAACCATCTCTGTGAGAAACCGGACTCGTAGCTATAGACCAGCAGAAAGCCTTAAAAGTTGTTTTTTACTCCACATTAATAGAAGACATTTCTCTAATATGGCTAGCTTCTTCGCCACAAGGAGCCTAAAAGCCTGATTATGGCAACTTAACTTATCAGAACTTAGAGAATCAAAATGAAACAGATTTCGACGTGGCATTAAGTTACGTTAAGTTT